TAACAAATATATTTCCCCAACAATGATTAACAGGTAGCAAACGGGACTAAAACATGTCTCTCAAAGCTAGAATGATTCAAATTTGAAGCTTAACAAGTAACCAAAGAAAGATTCCAACTACAACTTTTGCATTTGAACTAAAATCAGAATTTTTTAAACCACACAAATGATAACTTTGCTAACTAGGGTGTATAAATAGCTACTGTAACATAAAACACACAACAATAAATCAACCATTGATCTAGAGATTAACTAAAAGAAAACTTAAAAAAAACAAATTTAAGCTAGACATGGATGACATCTAATAGTAAAAAAAAAAACAGAAATAAATAGGCGAAAACCGTGGGAGAATCAGGACATGTATCTTCTATAGAATGAAACTCGTTTATAACACAAGATGACCCTAACAAATTGACATAAACCTATGTCTATTAATACAGATGAGAACTAACATACATAAACTCAGAAAATTAGTGCGAAAATCAGTGGAGCGATTCTTTTGACACGTTCAAAAACACACGACAAGACATGAACGCCAATCCACAAATAAGGACAGAACAATATCCTGGTGATTAACAAGTGAACAAGCTAAAATTCGAGGCAAGCACAATAGCCACAAGCTCAAGAAGACTAAGAACAAGGAAAGCAGATTCAAACATGCATTAAATCACCTCGAAAATGAAACACACACTACCAGCTTAAGAAAGATTAAGATGAAGAGAAAAACTCAACTTGAACATATCAAATAAAATCCCTTTTGCGACAAAGAACAAACACGATTCAACACGTTCAAACTTGAGATGAACAAAAGAGCTACTAGTTGTTTACCTCGTTAGGAGCAGCGACTGGGACTCGAGATTCCGAGAACTATTCCACCACCACCAGACTCCGACTAGCTTCAGTGAATCAAAAACGTAAAGAAAGAACTCGAAAAAAAAATCAAATTATGATTCGTTGTAGTATATTTTAGCCTATTTTGTATATATCTCTATATGGATGTCGTCTCGAATCCTTTTAGCTATTTTTCCCCCTTTTTCCCAACTCTAATATTTCCTTTGTTTCTTGCGAATTTTTTCCCCATGGATGGAAAAACTTGGTGTTGGTACGAGATTTCCTCTAAATTTCCAGAAAATTCAAACGAGGCAGCAGCGTAGATGACTTGGATTCATCTGCTCGTCCTTGAGCTTGGACGTGGCGTCCATCCACGCGAGTCAAAGGTGAAAATCGCGTTGCAAGGACAGTATTGCAGGCGGCTCCTGTTGTATGAACTACTTGCGAGGGAGACGTAGATAAAGTTGTTTACACAAAGCGTCGTGTACTTATTTCGAACGTCAGGGCTATTTTTCATGTAAATTGACTCTTGGAGGCGGACACTGTTTGGATTGATGTTGGTTCCGTGAACTCGCTCTCGCGTGAATGAGGCGAAGCGCGTGCAGGGTTGCTCACTCGTCGTTGTTAGGCGTCGTCTGGAATTGTTGTTGACGCATTGCTGCTTGATGTTTCTAGCTTCTCTTTTTGTGAAGGGAAAAGGGTTTGGGCCGGGTTACAGGTTAAAAAAAAATGGGTCGGCTGAGTTAATAGAAGCTGGGATTGGTTTGGGTTGGGAAATATGGAGCTATTGGGCCTGAGATTAGAAGGATTGGTATGCTGATTATTATTTTTTTTAAAAGTCCCAAACTTGGTCTTGCAAAGGGGTTGAAGGATCACTAAAATTGCAATTAAGAGAATGACCGCGTGAATTTCAATAGTAGCCAATCAAAATTAAAAATCTAGCCAAATGAGTTTAGTTGGTGATTAGGCTAAAATAAATAAAAAATGAGTTAATAGAAATTAATTAATGAGCTTCTTAATCCTAACGATATAAAATAATCAACTTGATTACAAAGTAATTGATATAAAATACCAACTAATATTCGAAATGGTAATTATGATTTAAACTAAAAATAAAGTACTTGTCTAAAAATGTAAAATCTTGAGGTGATTTTTGTTTATAAAATATATAAAATATACGTATATTTATTATTTGAAATATTTAAAATATTATGAAAAGTAACTAAAATTCTTAAAAGTAACTTGAAAAAATAATTTGAACCTCGTAAAGCTAATTATTTCAAATTATTTAAAATTAAAGAAGCTTAAAAATTAATTCCTATCGGGGAGGGTCAAAATTGGGTGTCAACAACTGTCCCTCGTTTGACTTAGATTGATGAAAGAAATCTGAGGAAAATGAAATTGACAAAACCAATTTTGATTGACCACTTCCTCATCTTTTGGAAAAGGGATTTGGTACGGACTTTAGGAATTATGGCCGAACCCCGGAAATGGATTTCCTACATATCTCAAGCTATATGAGAATTCAGGCCACTTGTAGTTCGATACGCTTGATTTGACGCATGATTTTGAAAGAATTCAAAAGTCATTCCGATATCAAATTATAAAGGGACGGGAATGCTCGAGAATTAGATTTAAGAGTGAATGTCGGAATACAACCGAGGTTTCAACGTTGATTCCTCCTACATACTCTCTTTAGGGAGTCAGGCTGCTTGTAGTTCGACTCAATTGGTTGAAAAGGAAATCCATTACGCAAGATAACCTTTGGTTCCGTAAAAGCGAGAAAGTAAGTCGAGTATGAAAAAGAGGCTTGCAAACTCTTAGCCATAAACGTGGCATGCTTCACACCCATAAATAAGAACTTGCACAGACATAATTTCCAAATCTCTTAGAGTATTGTTACTCCGATTGGAAAGCTACTTCTGGTAGAGACCAAAAATTTCTGGATGCGAAACTGAAACCGACAAACCCAAAGAAAAAATCACATGCCTTCTGATAGGGATGTGGTTTGATTGTGGTGGAAGTCGCTCCTCAGTTCGCGTCCTAAGAGTTTGGCATTCCTCTTTGGACTATATCCCAGTCCGCTACTAAGAAAAAGCTCAACGTTGTGCTGCATCCTTTTTTATGTCGTCCGCACATGTGGTTTTTTTGGAGAATTCATCCTTTCGGATGCTCTCGACAGGGACTGAGATAAAACTCATTAGCATAAAAAATGCAATTCAAATGGGAGATAGTATCTTTTACCGTGTTGACGCTTAATTGCTCTCCTTGAACATTTGACGTCAACTCCATCGAGTTTGACGTAAAGCAAATAAATCTTGTGTCTCATATCTGCAATATAATTTTCAATGTACTCTTTCTTTGATGTCAAAATAACAAAATAGGCTGATGTAATATGTTGACAGTTCTCTTGATGTCGTCGTTGATGGTTCTCTTGATGTCGTTTTTGCAAAAAAAAATGATGCAGTCGATGTTGATCTTCTTGTGATGGGTAAATATTTCTCTTGCGATGCATAACTCCTTCTCTTGTGATGCATGACTCCTTTCTCTTGCGATGCATGACTTTTTCCCGCGATGCATGAATCTTCTCTTGCAATGCACGAATCTTCTCTCGTGATGTGTGACTCTTTTCTCTTGCTATGCGTGACTCTTTCTCTTGCGATGCGTGACTCTTTTCTCTTGCTATGTTGACTATTTCTCTTGCGATGCGTGACTCTTTTCTCGTATTATGCATGACTCTTTCTCTTGTGATGCGTGACTCTTTTCTCTTGCTATGCATGACTCTTTCCCTTGATGCCTCCCTAGTACCGAACAAAGATAATGCTCCACCGAGCAACATAGGTGATCTTCTAGGTATCTTCTGGGTGGCGGTGTCGTCCCAATCGACAATACAAATAAAAATGATCCTTAGAGTAATGGTATCATCTCATTCGACAATACGATATAAATAACTCTCCGGGTAGCAATATTGTCATGTATGATAATATGATGCAGATAATGTCTTCCAAGTATCTTCAGCTGATGGAAAACAGTAAAATATCTTTCCTCAGAGTTTTCATTTGTTCCATCTCTGAACATAGTTGCATGTTCACTATGGACTTCACCTTGTTGGGAATTGAATGAAATAATGTTATTCATATTCCCAAATCTTTGATATAAGCAACATAAAATATTTCATGCATCCACAGAAAAATTGTTAGTTTAAGAATGAACTGAACTGTGTCGATCTCTTCGGCTGTCTGCTCCTTGTCTTGCTATCTCCGGTTGATTTCTCCAATCTCCCGCCACTTGATAGATAAGAAAAAAATATTTTTATGCAAAAAATAATTGAAACATGGAGGAAAAGTTTTAAGGAAAATGGATTTTCAAAAAGTAGTATTTGGAAAAGGTCACTGCCAAGTGTCATGTCACGTCAAGCTTAATGAACGCCTTTGAAGTTGATGCCTCGAGGTCTATCTGATTACTTGCTGGGAAGTATTCAAAGTTGCTCTAAATTGCCGCTGAGCCTTATTGAAATTTTTGAGGTCATCCTCAAAAATTTATGTCCCAGTTAACTGTCTTGGTGTATACTGAACTGTTGATAAACAAACCATGAAATTTTTTAGATCCTCTCAAAATTTTGTCCCAGTTGCAATTTTCAACGTAACTTTAGTCTTGACTTTGTTGGAGAGATCTTCTTCTTGAGAATTTTTTAGTCTCTCTCAAAAAAATTTGTCCCAGTTTCTATTGTAAAATAAAACAGAAATCTTACGGGAGATATGACCGAACCGTTATGGCGCCTACGTATCCCGTTGATGCAGGAATCAGGTCAAACGTAGTTCCCCTTCTCGAGAATTAACAGAAATAAGAAATTTACTATGGAACCGACCGAGGCCGACATAGGTCGCCTACGTATCTCATTCTTGAGAATTCAGGTCGAACGTAGTTCAAGTACAAAAGGAAACACTAAAAGGGGATAAAAGGATGAACGAGGCCGACATAGGCCGACATAGACCGCCTACGTATCTCATTTTTGAGAATTCAGGTCAGATGTAGTTCATTACAAGAAGGATAGAATTCTAAACAAAGCGATTACAAGCAAGTAGAACGATTACAAGGAAATGGCAGAAATACAAACTAAAATTTCACACATAAAATCTCTTGACAGCATTGGAGTTGATCGGTTTTGGTCATTCGGTGCCATCCATCTTTGACAAAACCAAGGCACCTCCAGATAACACTATGTGAACCATGTAGGGTCCTTGCCAATTTGGTGCAAATTTCCCTTTATATTCATCCTGATGAGGGAAAATGCGTTTGACAACCAACTGGCCAATTTCAAACATCTTGGCTCTTACTCTCTTGTGGAAAGCACGAATTATTCTCTGTCGATACAGTTGACCATGACAAATAGCGACCATTCTCTTCTCATCAATCAATGTTAACTGATCAATCCACTTTCGAACCCAATCAGCATCACTCAATTCAGCTTCTTGGATGATTCTCAATGAAGGTATCTCAACTTCGGCAGGTATAACTGCTTCTGTTTCATATACTAACAAGTATGGAGTTGCTCCATTTGACATCCTAACAGTCGTTTTGTACCCCAACAAAGCATATGGCAACATCTCGTGCCAACCTTTGTGATTGTCAATCACTTTCCTAAAAATCTTCTTGATGTTCTTGTTGGCAGCTTCTACAACTCCATTCATTTGGGGACGGTAAGCAGTTGAGTTTCAGTGGATAATCTTGAATTGTTCACATATCTCTCTTATCAAATGATTGTTGAGATTCGCTCCATTATCAGTGATGATGGATTTTGGTACTCCAAACCTACATATCAAATTGTTGCGAACAAAATCGGCTACAACTTTATTGGTCACCGACTTATACAAAGCTGCTTCCACCCACTTGGTGAAGTAGTCAATGACAACTAAAATGAATCTGTGTCCGTTAGAGGGGCTGGCTCTATTGGACCAATGACATCCATGCCCCAAGCTACGAAAGGTCAAGGTGAACTCATAGCATTGAGTTCATGAGGTGGCACTCGAATCAAATCACCATGCACTTGACATTTATGGCACTTCTGCACAAACTTGCAACAATCATGCTTCATAGTCATCCAAAAATAACCGGCTCGGAGGATCTTCCTAGCCAAAGTGAGTCCATTCATGTGAGTACCACAAACTCCCGCATGTATTTCTTCCAGAAGCTTCACAGCTTCACCAGCATCAATGCATCTAAGAAGACCTAAATCTGGAGTCCTCCTATAAAGGATTTCTCCACGTGGAAAGAAATTATTAGCCATAAGGCGTATTGATTTCTTCTGGTTGAACGTTGCGTTCTTAGGATAAGCCCCGGTCTCCAAATACTTCTTTATGTCAAAATACCATGGCAAACCATCTGGTTCCGTTTCAACATGTGAACAATGAACAGGCTGCTCTTTTACCTCTATATCCATTGGATCAATACAACTTGAATCTGGATGTTTAATCATTGATGCGATAGTGGCAAGAGCATCGGCCAACTCATTCTGTGTCATGGGTGTGTGCCTGAACTCAATCTTGCGAAATCTCTTGCACAACTTCTGTATATACCGCACATACGATGTGATCTTTGGGTTTTTCGCGGCCCATTCTCCTTGAACCTGGTGAATCAGAAAATCTGAATCTCTGATAACAAACAGCTCGTGAACGTTCATATCAATTGCCATATTCAGACCTAGGATGCAAGCTTCATACTCAGCCATGTTGTTTGTGCAATCAAATCGGAGTTTAGCCGCCACAGGATAGTGCTGACCGGTTTCTAACACTAAGACCACTCTGATACCTTTCCCTTGGTGGTTTGCCGCTCCATCAAAGAATATTATCCAACCAGGGTATGCTTTAGAAATATCTTCACCCACAAATGCTAGCTCTTAATTGGGAAAATAAGTCTTGAGTGGTTCATACTCTTCATCAACTGGATTCTCCGTAAAATGATCAGCCAATGCCTGTGCTTTTTTCACCTTTTGAGTCACATATACAATGTCAAACTCACTTAAAAGCATTTGCCATTTAGCCAACTTCCCAGTCGGCTTTGCTTTCTGGAAAATATATTTCAACAGGTCCATTCTGGAAATAAGGTATGTGGTATAAAAAGACAAATAATGTCTCAACTTCTGAGCAATCCAGGTCAAAGCACAACATGTCCTCTCCAAAAGAGTGTAACGAGCCTCATATGGACTGAATTTCTTGCTCAAGTAATAGATGACTCGCTCCTTCTTCCCAGTTTCGTCATGTTGACCAAGCACGCATCCAAATGCGCTATCCGAGACAGATAAATATAGCAACAAAGGACTTCCTACTCGTGGAGGAACCAACACCGGTGGATTGGACAAATAGTTCTTTATGGCATCAAAAGCAGTTTGACATTCTCTGGTCCACTTGGTCAAGACATCTTTTTTCAACAACTTGAAGATGGGCTCACACACCACAGTGGATTGAGCTATGAACCGACTGATGTAGTTCAGCTTTCCTAGGAAACTCATTACCTCTTTCTTGGTCTTCGAAGGAGGTAACTCTTAAATCGCTTTGATCTTGGAAGGATCAAGCTCAATGCCTCTACTACTAACTATGAATCCCAACAACTTTCAAGCTAGCACACAAAAAGCACATTTGGTGAGATATAACTTCAAATTGTACCGTCGTAGGCGATCAAAGAATGTCCTCAAATGAATCAAGTGATCCGAACTCTCGCGGGATTTGATTATGACATTATCTACATACACCTCGATCTCCTTGTGAATCATATCGTGAAATATGGTTGTCATAGCCCTCATGTTAGTAGCACCGGCATTTTTGAGACCAAACTGGCATCACACGATAATGATATACACCCCAAGACATAATGAAGGCTGTCTTTTCTGCATCTTCTTCATCCATCAGGATTTGGTGATAGCCCTCATAACAATCCACAAACAACTGCATCTCATGCTTGGAACAATTATCAATGAGAATGTGAATGTTTGGCAATGGAAAGTTGTCTTTCGGGCTAGCTTTGTTGAGATCTCTATAATCGACACAAATTCTGATCTTCCTGTCTTTCTTGGCCACTGGAACAACATTGGCTAGCCAAGTCGGATATTGTGTCATTTCCACCACTTGGGACTTGATCTGCTTTGTAATCTCCTCTTTGATCTTCAAACTCAGCTCTGGCTTGAATTTTTGGGTATTCTACTTCACTGGATTGAAATCTGGATTGATCGGTAGTTTATGAGACACCATGTTCGTACTTAGCCCTGGCATATCCCTGTAAGACCAGGAAAATACGTCGATGTATTCTCTGAGCAAGCAAACCAGGTCCCTTCTTTGAACTTCGGTCATATGGACACTGATTCTAACTTCTTTGACGCATTTTTTATCTCCAAGATTCACAGTCTCAGTTTCTTCAAGATTCGGCTTGTGCTGATTCTCAAACTGTTGAAACTCTTCAGCAACATGTTCCGGTACCACATTTTCTTCTTCATATTCTTCGCATTCCTCATCACCTGCCTCATTTTGTTCATTCGACTCGTGACATGACATGACATTGGCAGGTTTTAAATTAATATTACTAAAATCATAAACAAACAAAGTTAGAAAAGTAAAATATAGCAGATAAGCAAATAAACAAATTTCGATAAAAGAGTCTTTTCATTTAAATTGAAAGACAAGCACAAACTTCGACCATGGCCATAGGCCATCTCACCTTTTTAAGCATCACGAGGGAATTTAAAAACTCAAACAAGTAAAAATTGCATAAAGGGTGGGTCTTAGGCCCCTTCCAGACTACCACCAATTTTAAAAATAAGTATAAACACATGTCCTTTCTACCTAGATGAGCGGGGAATCATGAGTGGTGTGGAGGTCCAATTTTGCAATTACTTCTCAGGTTCTGCATCACAGATGCCTGATGTCCCAGCCTCTTCATCGATGACCGCATCAATCTCCTCAAAAAGGCCCCAGATTCCTTCCCCGAGACCACCATCGTTAACATATTCTCGCACCGAGAATGACTGGTACAGATGAAGAATTAGCCTGGCCAATGCTTGATCAACACTCTTATTTTTCATCTCTGCTTCATCATCTATGGGGACATACCCCAAACCAAACTTAGCTCCTCTGGCGAGAACTTGAATAGGCTCGATAATTCCTTGGAAATGCTTCCCCAACCCAAAACCTGGTTCGAAACCGCTACGGAGCATAACAGTAGCAATTATCTTATACACAGAAGGAATAAGAGGTTGTGGAGCCAAGTATCAACGGTGGCATTTACCAGCTCTACTGTGTAGAAATCACAACCTCGGGAGGCCTCAACAATGATCGGTACATATCCATTGGAATGGCTTCCTTCACCGTATGACCAATTCCTGGTCCTTCCAAACAAATTTCATCAGTTGGTGAAGGGTAGAAGGCACAGCCTCAGTCATGTGGATAAACGATCTTCCCAGAAGCAAATTGTAAAGGGTATTGATGTCCAACACCAGAAACTCTGCATTGAATTCTACAAGACCCATCTGAACATCCAAGTTCACCGCACCCAACATGTCTCTTTGCACTCCATCGAAAGCCCTCGCATTGACTTGGTTCTGGTGAACCTTTTCCAAGTCGAAGTTTAGCTGCTTCAGAGTCGAAAGTGGGCAAATATTGAGACCAGATCCGTCATCGACCAAGACGCGATTTATGACCTTATCTCGGCACATAATGGTGACGTGCAGAGCTTTGTTGCGCATCTTGCCTTCAAAGGGCAGCTTTTCGTAACAGAAACTGATGTGGTGTCCTCGAACGACTTAGTTTATCATGGCTGCTAGATTGTCACTGTTGGTACCCACAAGCACATAAGTGTCATCCAGAGCCTTCAACAGAGCCTGCATGTGCAACTGCAAACTCATCAATAAAACCCATACAAAAATTTGAGCCGGTGTCTTTTCTAGATGCTTCACAATCGAATAATCTTTCGGTTGCATTTTTCTCCAGAACTCTTCAGCTTCAGCTTCACTAATTTGCCTTTTAGGTTGATCCTTCTTCTGCACTTCCTGGGCTAACTCTTTTAGTGTGTAGCACCTGCCGGATCTGGTCATACCCTGGGTGGCAGCCATTTCAATCACAAACTTTGGTCGGGTAAGAGTTTCTATTGGTACCAACGCAACAGCCTTCTCGGGTGTCAGAATCATAAACTCTTTCTTCTCTCTAATTCTTAACGAAGCTACAGCCATTTCCAGTTCATCGGGAGTGATCGAAACTATTGCCTTTGTCACGCACCAATCGTCATCCATCGCTATCATATTGATAGTGACGCCTCCATGATTTGGCAAAGGATTACTATTGATATTGGGCGCGACTGTCTGGAGAGAGATCACGTTCTGGTCAATCAGGTCTTGGATCTTGTGCTTCAGGTTGATACAGTCTTCGATATCAAGTCCAACACCGTTGGATTGATATGCGCACCCCTGATCAGGTCTGTAAAACCTTGAGTTAGTGTCAACCGGCTTGGTCCCTACTAGATGAATATATCTTGCCGCAGTGAATTACTCGAATAGCTTTGTACGGTTTTCAATGAGCAGAGCGAATTTTCTAGCGGACTTCTTCTCAAATCTAGGACGGGGGGATCGCAATTGCCTTGTTGAGGGGGAGGCATTTGATGATAATTTGGAGTGTTTGGACGGGGACTTGATATCTTAGGTATGGATTGG